TTGTTGAATATGTGGAACACTTTGACTCGTATTTCAAAAGGAAAAGTGATTACGAGTCCAGTTTCCATACTTCTATTGTGAACTATCTTAAAGGAGATAAGGTTGTAGAGTTTTATGAGTATCCTACTTATCAGTCATATGTGCATCAGCCGTTTATGGATAAGGACGATGATGATGAGGAAGAGGATTAAGAGATCTTTACAATTTAGTAGTAGTACATGTACTTAGTTGTGCTTTATTAGATACTTCTGGATGTATTTTGTTTAGGTTGGATTCATGTCCGGAACCATTTATTTTACTGCACTACTGTTTCCTTTATGTTCTAGTTCAAATATAGCACTGCATTTGTGTTAAAGTAGTCCTTTATTTTGCCATTTTTATGCTAAACATGTTGAGTTGAGATTTACTTACTGCTACACACTTGTCTTTACTGTTTATACTTATATAATATTCATATTCAGGACCTTGTGATAGAAAATAACTCAGTTAAATTTTCTCCCTTCATACACTTTTGTACTAAATGTTTTAAAGGCGTAAAAATTCAAGTTTAGGTCGGGGAGAAAAACTTTTAAAACTAAACTATATTTGTCATCAGTAAACTGCATTTAAATATCATTTTGAATTAACCTATAGTATGTAGTGTTATCTTTAGAGAACTATATTTTTTATTCTATGAATGTTATAATAGACTTGAGTAAATTTTTTTGGTGACAAGAGCGGTCCTAGAGTTAAGATATTTAGTATAAAAGAATAGGGATATGATTTTACTATTTATAGTAGGAAAATTTGTATTTTTGAAACACTAAGAATTTTAGATTTACACTTTAAAAAGAATTGAGACTCTATGAAAAATCATTTTTATACTAATACACACTATCAAATAACGAAATGCGAGAAGTTTTTAATTTTAGGAGGAGGATAGTGAAATTCGAAATCATTAAAGAATGTCCAGATATAACAATACTCACATAAAAGAGTAAGGATTAAAAGAATCCTGAAAGAAAAGAAATGTATAATTAAAAATCAGCTTCTCACTTCAATCATCTTAAGGGAAGAAGCTCAGTTACAGTTCTGAGCTTATTGTCAATTTTTAAATGTATCAGTCAAATATTTACTAATAGAGTTTTCAAGAAATTCTATCTTTTATTTTTTTTAGGATTCTCAAGTTTAACAAATTACAATTACTTTTGAAATGGATAGAAAATAAGAATTCCTAACTTGATTACTAGAAGTTCTTATACCCTAATTCTAGCCTGATTTATTGAATTTTTTTCTAAAGTTGCACTCACATTTTTTGGGCATAACTATAGGAATCTTTCATGAAACTCACTATCATAAGTTAATACATTTGATTTCTAAAATAACAGAGTTACTTGAGAACAAGTAACAGTGAAGTTTGAAGGATTTTGATATGCTCTGTAATAGTTGCATTTTTCTTTAATATTTCTTATTTAATTTTGACGATAATATGCTTTAAAGAAAAATATTATCATGTTTTTGGTGCAAATATAACAGGAGAAAAAACTAGATGGAATTGAAGCGAAAATAAAGCGAAACGGAGCAAATTGGGTTAAGGAAAAAAATATTTGATCTGGCGTCTGAGCGTCGGATTATGATGCCTAAGCGCCACCTTATAGAAAAACCAGCGCCTAAGCGCCAAATCCTGACGCCAATTAGATTTACTGGGCTCCCGAGAAGGTGGCGCCTAGGCGCCACAGTTGGGCGCTAGACACCAAAACTGCCCAGAGCAGTTTCTCTGCAGTTAAAGCACGAATTCAAGGCATTTTTTTAGAAAATTTTCATTGGAGACGTAGAGAAGAGCCTTTGGAGAGTTCAAGGAAGCTCTGGAATGCAAGAGATTGAGGGAGAGTGAGAGATTTCTTTGTATTTTCTGCATTTTTTGAGTTACATTTGAGAGAAATTGTAGAGATTGTAAGATATGCAAAGGAACTTCAGAAGTCCCTTTGTGGTAGAGTCTTTGCTGATTTCAATGAAGGAGATAAGTTTTTATTTGCACACTGTTTTGTTCTAAGTAGATTTTATCTTTTAAGACTTTGATAAATTATATAGGAATGTGTTCTTGTGTTCACTTCATGAAATCTGAGTAGTATCCTTACTTCCTTTCTTTTGTAACGGATTAGTCGCATGTATAGGGTTCAAATTAAAGTAAAATCTAATTACTTTATTGAATGTGATGATATTACACCTGTGCTTCATTTACTTTGCAAATTGGTCATTTGTGATGTTAAAATTCGTTGTGAACCCATAAGATTTGTGAGGGTTATGACTTCAAAGAAGTAGTGAGTACCACATTAACCTTTAGGGTGAAGGAAAAGTAGTCCTGAGGTGAGTGCAAATAAATAGAGAGATGATTTTAGCGAGGATAACTAGGAGGTTTCTAGGGTGACAGGCGAAAACTAGTCCTTAGTTAATCTAGGTTCTTTATGCACTTGGAAAAGGATAAAGAATCGGTATGCTCCTATTTGTCACAGATTTTATTTAGAGATTCTATTTTAATTGAACCTACACTAGCTACTAGTCTAATTACAAAAAGAGGGAACCTCTAGATAACTTGAATTTCCAACTTACTTTAGCTTAGTGTGATTAGTCTAAACCTTTTGGCTTAACTTAGCTCAGTTAATTTAGCTGATTAGATCACTTAGAAATTTAGTAATAGTTTAGTCAAATTATTAGCTCATTGTCAATCAAACCAATTTCCTAGCTAAGGCATTCTAGATTCAGTTAAGGCCTAGGTCAAGTCTGTCAAATTTGTAAACATCTTGGTGGGTTCAATACTCAGAACATAAAGAAAGTCCAATGATACTTGAATGATACATGCACTTGTGCTTTTACCTGGTGTGAAGTGAGTAGGAGTGAAAAATCCAGAGATTTAATTTATAAAATATATTTTTACCATTTTAATATCTAATCCTATAATACCAGGTATATCATAGTGTAAATAGCGGTCAGTCTGTAGGACCTGATGATATACAAATTGAAGTGTGGAAATATATAAGAGATTTGGGAGTTCTTTGGCTAGATAAACTCTTTAATATTATTTTAAAAACTAAAAAGATACTCGAGGAGTGGAGGAAGAGTATTTGGTCCCCATTTTTTAGAATACAGGGGATGCAAAAGAGTGCAAATTATAAAGGAATTAAGTTGATGTGCCATACTTTAAAATTATGGGAGAGGGTAATTGAACGGAGATTAAGACGTATTACAAAGATTTCTCATAATCAATTTGGATTTATGTCGAGCAGGTCTATCATGAAAGCTATAAAATTTATTGAGAGGTTTGATAGAGAAGTTCAAAGATAATAAAGAGGATCACATTATTGATTTAGAAAATTCTTACGATAAGATTCCAAGAGATCATTTGGAGATTTATTGAGAAGAAAGATGTTGATATCACTTATACTCAAGTCATTAAAGATGTGTTTACTAGATTTGTTACTTGTGTTCGAATAGAAGGAAGATTGACCAAATCTTTTCCTATTTTTGTTGGATTACATCAGGCATTGGTTTTAAGCCGATATCTTTTTGCTTTAGTTATGAATGCTCTTACTGGACATTTACAGGAGGATGTACCTTGGTGTATGCTTTTTATCGATGATATCCTTCTCGTGGATAAGACCAGAGAGAAAGCTTAGGAAAAACTTGAATTATGGAGGTCTACATTGGAGTCTAAAGGCCTTTATTTTAGTAGAACTTAAACTGAATACATGGAATGTAATTTTAGGGTCCGTTTAGGGCAGCTTATTTGGTGCGATGGCGTTTTGAAAATGCACCTGGTCTGTCTGGGTGAATTATGTTTTGGCAGCTTGTGCGTTTTTAAAACACTGAACACAGCGTTTTCACGCCGCACCTATCTAGGTGCGGTGGCAACTTTTTGGCACATATATGGCTTTTCCAAAAAAAAAATAAAAATTTGTAATAGCCACCACGCCTAGTTTATCAGCAGATTATTCAATAAGCTGTAGCTGCCCCAAACAAACCCTTAGTAGTAGTAGCTCTAGTGACAGAATTAAAACTATGGGTGATCAAATTATTAAAAGGTGTGAACGCTCTAGATATCTCGGGTCTATTGTTCAAAGTGATGGTGATATAGATGGGGATTATTAGTAGAATTCAAGTTTGGTTGGTTGAAGTGGAGGAATGCTTCGGGCCTATTGTGTGATAGAAAAGTACCGCTTAGACTGAAAGAAAAATTTTATAAGATGGTGGTGAGACCAGCAATGTTTTGTAGCGTTGAATGTTGGCCTTTAAAAGAAAAGCATAAAACTAAGTTAAATGTTGCCGAGATGAAAATGATTAGGTGAATGAGTGGCTTTTCACTTAGTGACAAAAAGTTAAATGAATATATCTGTGATAGGGTTGGTGTAGCTCCATTGACAAACAAAATTAGAGAGAGTCATCTTAGATGGTTGACGTTAGATGGTTTGGTCACATTAAACGTCAACCATCTAATGATCTGATTAGAAGAGTTGATGTTTCAGATTCGACTTATGTTAAAAAAGGCTGAGGTAGACATAAAAAAGCTTGGACGTATTGTATAAAAATGATCTTAATTTAATAGAATTAAATGAAAATATGACGCTCAATAGAACTCAATGGAGAAAAATGATTCATGTAGCCGACCCCATTTAGTGAGATAAAGGTTTGTTGTTGTTATCGTTGTATTGTGATATCCCAATATGTTGCTACATATACTAGGCGCTACATTGGGTACCCAACAACCAAGCTTTAAAATTCTAAAACCAGTGAAAAACCAGCAACTACAGGCCAGATTTGGTTGTATGCTAATAGTAAATTACATAAGTAAAACGCAATCCATCCCATCTCAAAAACAAATAAATAGACATAGCTTTTTTAACCATACTATAACATTATAATTTATTAATCCTAAGTGCATATGTTCTCAGGTTTTCATAAAGTGTGAATGAAAATAAACAAAAACATGAAATTATAATGCTTAATCAATTAAAAATAGTTATTACCAGTGCCCCGTGTTGAAGATGATGATATCATGGAAGAGAGGTGCCTCTGCCCATGTATGCTCAGGTACATCAACATCCACTCGGTAACCTTGTTTGAAACCAAGAGACTCTAGGGCAACTCCATTTGGGCTGGCTGACCAACTAAAAAAAATATATATATTAAAAACTAAAATGAATAAGGAAAATGAACTAAAGAAAGTAATGGCCTTGAGCTAGCATCCACATTCATTGCAGGTGTGTGTAACTTGTAACTTCACTTAAGATAATAATTAGTTCAAAACAAAACCATATCAAAACAAATGAAAGTTGAAGCATCAGATAGTTCAATAAGCGTATTGTGTACTTCTCCAAAAAATATGATACACATTTATAGAAATTTTGAACGCAAGTATGCAATTTTTTCTTATATTAACTTGAGCATAACTCACCATTTATCATGATCATATGCATTATCCTTCACAGATAAGTCTCATAAACTTCAGAAATAACTCAAACACTGCTAAAAGTTTTTTGAACCTTCATAAGATATTTTAACTCTTAATTTGAATGTGTAGCATCTGAAGTATTCCCTATACTCCTTTCTTCAACTATCATAAGCATTTCCAAAAATGGAAGCAACCTTGTAATGTACTGCTTTAAAGTTTGGCAGCACCTACATATTTTTGTCCTATCACATTAGACCTGGCTTCCATATCACATTGTTACATAAGGTTGGCATTCTCATTATTGCTAATATAATAGAATGAACATGTTCAAGAATTTGGAAAAAGAATCATTAGGTCTTTGTGAACCTTGAGGAATAGGTCTGGAGAAGGACTGGTTAACCCTATCAAATCTCATGGTTCCATTGTCCAAGGTACACTAAATAATCAAGCCACAATCATCAAAATCTTGGTTGCGGGAGATGACAGTGCTAGTTTTCTCATATAAAGGACAAAGGATAAAGAAATAAAAGCTTCAACATTAAAAGAACAAAAAGCAGTTCCCATTCCAGGATACCAAAAAAAAAAAAAAGATTAACATAAAATGCATAAACCCTCTCTACTATTTTCATGCAATTAATACTAGCCTCCAGACTTAATCAAGCCACAATCATCAAAATCTTGGTTGCGGGAGATGACAGTGCTAGTTTTCTCATATAAAGGACAAAGGATAAAGAAATAAAAGCTTCAACATTAAAAGAACAAAAAGCAGTTCCCATTCCAGGATACCAAAAAAAAAAAAAAGATTAACATAAAGATTAACATAAAATGCATAAACCTATTTTCATGCAATTAATACTAGCCTTCCAGACTTATATTCTCATGAAATTATGAGATATGCTTCAACAATTATCTAAATAAGAAAATGGCAAGCATAACTGGTTAAGTGCTCTTAGGAGACAAAAACAGATTTCCAATTGTAAAATAAACTCTCAAAATTTAAAGCACGTCGATTTTCAGTCAGTAGCATTATGTCCCAAATTGAGCAAACTTGTCTTCATATTGTAAATTCCAAACTTTAAGAAATCAATAATCCCTTACCTACCATATCGTGCCAGGAGATTAGTACGATGATACGCCACTGTGAGGTTGTTGCGCAGAAAGGTAAATCCTCGGTCAGCACCAGCCGGCCGCCACTTCCTCACGTCTCCCACATGAACTCTCCTCAACATGCAGACCAGAGAAACAAACATATTCCGATTCAATGAATCACCAACAAAACCTGCCGCCCTCAAAACCCATCACTCTTCCACAAAATAACAACAGAAATTTTCAATGTTAAAGAATCTAGCAAGAAATTTCATAAATCACTTGCCTATGCTTTTGTTTCTGAATCGGCGAAGAAAATAGACGGGATCTAGAGGAAGTAGATCGCAGCCCGAGGGCAACCACCTCCACTGCGACAGATCGCGGGCGTTCGACTTGCCGCTGGATATGCAGTTCCATCCCTTGAAGATCTCCTTGCAAGAGCTATCATAACGAGGAATGACGGAACTTTGGTCTCGAATCCACTTTCCGCTTGTGTAGTTACATAAGCCGCCGCCAGCTACATTTCTCGTTGAAGCGAACGGCTGAACGCCAGATAAACCCTCGGGGGAGAACGAGTGCCGCAGAGCGGAGAAGAGGAAGAGGATGGCAACAAATAGTAGAAAAGCGAAGCAAGAATGAATGGAAGAGGGATGCCTCCTCGCTCCGGCATCAAGCGCAGCCATGAAAGCCGCAGAGAAACCTTTATTTTATAAAAGAAGAGCACGCAAAAATATGCATCCTCGCGAGATAATATTAGTTAGGATCTCTTTGCGTCTCATCTGCGAATTTTTATTCGGTACGTGCACTGCATGAAGCCTTACATGCGATACCGAATAAAAATTTGCCACGTGGAATGCGATTCCACGTGGCTTTACAGCTTAAAAATAAGTTTTTTCATGTATTCCGACCCGACCCGATCCCGCCCAAAACAAAAAAAAGCGCTTTTTTGTCATTTTCGATTCCCGCCAACAGAAGAAAGTGACATTTTGTCTGCTTTAGGGTATTGGTATCTGGTATATTCTCATTTTTTCGCTCATGTTCGCTGGAGCTGGTTCGATGGAAAAAAATTTCGACGAAGAAATGTTTGTGGAATCTCAAAATACTTCTGAGAATCATAACAATGAGACGAAATCTCAGAATATTTCCGAGAATAATGAGGTGGAGCAGAGTTTAGATGCGGCAGAAGGGCATCGACAGGTAGATTTTTTTAACGAAGGATGTTTGAATACAGTTCTAGGTTTTAAGGAGTTATTTTATTGCTAATGAAGTTTGCTCTATTTTTGGATGAGTTTTAACGCTAAGTTTCGGTTGGGTGGGATGTGGTGTTATTTAGGAAATATTAGTTGGGGTTTGATGTTATTTTGATAGTATCTGGCATCATAATGTAAAGAATCTGGAGGATTTGGTGTTATTTTGGTAGTATCACAGTGTTATTTTGGTAGTATCATAATGTAAAGCTAATGTCTTGAGGATTTGGTGTTATTTTGGTCGTACCACAGCGTTATTTTGGTGGTATCATAATGTAAAGCTAATGTCTTGAGGATTTGGTGTTATTTTGGTCGTACCACAGCGTTATTTTGGTGGTATCATAATGTAAAGCTAATGTCTTGAGGATTTGGCGTTATTTTGGTCGTACCACAGCGTTATTTTGGTTGTATCATAATGTAAAGAATCTGGAGGATTTGGTGTTATTTTGGTAGTATCACAGTGTTATTTTGGTAGTATCATAATGTAAAGCCAATGTCTTGAGGATTTGGTGTTATTTTGGTCGTACCACAGCGTTATTTTGGTGGTATCATAATGTAAAGCTAATGTCTTGAGGATTTGGTGTTATTTTGGTCGTACCACAGCGTTATTTTGGTGGTATCATAATGTAAAGAATCTCGAGGATTTGGTGTTATTTTGGTATTATCACAGCATTATTTTGGTGGTATCATAATGTAAAACCAATGTCTTGAGGATTTGGTGTTATTTTGGTCGTACCACAGCGTTATTTTGGTAGTACCACAACGTAACGTTTCTTTCATGTGGATTTGGTGTTACTTAGGTATTATCACGGTGATACACCGGTTGGGTTTTGTAGTTGTTTTCCATCTCCGGTTGTTCGGTATAATATAAGTTCTGGGCTGATGTTATGAATAGTATTATTATGATATTAATATGGTATTATTATTTTGTTCTTTATGTATTATAACATTGTATCTATGATGTTTAAATCTGCAGTCACCCGATACAGAGAAATTACTTAATGCAGTTGTCCAGAACGAGAATGAAGCATATGAACAGTATTGTTTATATGCACACCATATTGGATTTACTGTGCGAAAGGAACACAGTGGTTTCTGGCCGAATTCTAAGAAGTTGAAGACAAAGGACTTTGTTTGTGGTAAGGCTGGTTTCAAGAAAGAGTTGAAGGACACTATCACAGTGAGGTTCAAAAGAGCGGACACAAGGACTGGTTGTCCAGCAATGATCCGATACTTCGTTGATTTAGATGGCAACTGGTCGGTAAAAAAATTTGTAGAAAGTCACAACCATCCGTTGGCGGAGGACGGTGACAAGCATCTACTGCGTTCCAGCAGAAAGATGTGTGATATCAATGCTGATATCCTCAGAACAATGACAAAATCAGGGATTAGAACCAGCGATGCATTCAGATTCCTCGCAAATGAGGTTGGAGGAGTGGAGAATCTTGATTGCACAAAGAGGGATGCATATAATTTCATACAAAGAGAGAGAAGAGTTCAGATTGAATTAGGGGATGCTAATTCTCTCATACAATTGTTCACTACCCGACAAGCAGATGATCCAATGTTTGCGTGGGACTTCCAAATTGATGAGGCAGGATGTTTGGTGAATTTTTTATGGTGCGACGGGATGTCCAGGATTGATTATGACTGTTTTGGGGATGTAATAATATTTGATACAAGTTATAGATTGAATAAATACAATTTATGTTGTGCTCCGATTGTCGGTGTGAATCATCACTGGCAGAATGTTCTATTTGGTGTTGGTTTTTTGTCAGATGAAACAATTGAATCATTCAAGTGGTTATTCAGAGCTTTTATCCGTATAATGGATA